TTGAGAATGTACCAAGTCCACTGTCTGATGCTGGGAATCATGACAACTACTATCACAGACGACTTCGGACTAGGTGCGTTCTACCAAGTCGCCCTGACAACAAGACCAAGTTGCGACGAGGTCAGCCCACTTCGATAATAAGTAAGTTGCTCCATTTTAAGATTGGTGGTAAGAGAATAGTGTTCTAAATAAAAAAGCAAAACACTTTACACTAGTTGAAGTTTTAAGATATAAATATGAGAAGATTTAATGTATCTAATCAGTTTGAGAGATTAGTGTCATAATAACGAGAAAATTCTTTTCTGCACTGATAACCTTTTTTCATGGGTATGCATCCTATTAATCAGCCAGTAAGGGACTAAAACGGTCAAATTTTGAGAAAGAGATTATATATATATGCTTTACGATCATCAGAATTATAATTGTTCTACGAAGGGATGAAACTGCTCTATTTTTTAAACTACTACTTAATTTAACGCTATATATAGATTTTTCTAGCGAACACGAACTTCTTTTTACCAATTGTTAAAAGGTATAAATAAGCTATTTTATTTCAACCTGGTTGTGTTGTCATAGCGACAAAGTTGTACGTACCTTGTCCGAAGCCCTCTGCTATAATATTTATCATATTTCCAAGCGTCGCACCGTGGACTTAGTACATTCCCATACGTTTTGCCGACATTTACAGCAGGTTCTGCCATTTTCAGAGCCAAGCTACAACCCATCAGGGATAAGTTAAGTCAAACTCATGATCAAATGTCCGCCGAAATGTTTGTGTTATCATTCCCCTTTCTCACCCTAACCTCTTGTCTCACTCGTGAGATTGACTTGAGTTGGCTATTTGACGAAATGTAGCTTGGTGCTGAGACTGGCACAGCCTAGTGATGATACCGGCGAAGCGTCTGGCAATGTACGAAGTCAACGTCCGGCACTGGGAAATACAAAGCCTACTATAGTAAAGGGCTTCGGACAATGTGCGTCCAATTAAGTAGCCCTGACAGCACGACCAAGTTGCAAACACGAGGTCAGCCCACTTGTATACATCGAAAGGAGACTGACCATACCAAGAACAACATCTTGGTCTTCACATCTTTCCTGTATAGCTCAGTTCTCTTCAGACGAATATATTCCTAAATACAGTAGTTTATTCCCGTCATGTGACGCCGATTTTATCCTATAAACTAAGCATCACTTTTCCCATCTCCACTTCTCCCCGACCTCCCGATTTCACTTATGGACACATTCATCTGAGACTTTAAGCAACATCCTACCATAAGAATTTTCTCCTTGCATACTGGATTCTTATGATTCACACATCCTAAGTTTTGACTAATGTACTCTGATGGCATAGTAAGTAAACTGGTGCCCATCTTCTGGCTGTTCATTTATCAGATTCTAGTCAGCTGTACCACTTCATCCAACAGAATTAAGCCACGCAACTACAGCTGAGTTGAGCATAAAACATTAATCAGGTGCTGGCGTTCACATGTAGGAATTTATCCAGGAGGAAAATCGCTTGATTAGAGATAATTTTGTGGTTTTATTGATTGTTATTAATTAGTAAACAAGTAATAGACAGTGTAAATATGATATAGGTAGCATGTAAGGCAGAGAAACAAGATACGTTGCCTCAGCCCTCTGACCAAGCTGGAAAGTCTTCCACAATATCACGATTTAAGCGTCAGATGAGACCTGCGGCGCACTAGCAGGACATAACAACCTCAGCGGCTCCAATATGTCACAATGCCTGACGAAGTGTACAATTTTAAGAGCCAATTAGTCCATGCATTGAACCCCCAATCCACCTGTTGCCACATTGGCAACGGGCCAGACAACCTGCAAAACTATTATCTTAGTTCTAATGGTGAAGTGTGCACCTTGAACTAATTATTGTGAATATAGCTCACATATATAGCAAATAAAGTAAGCAAACTTATATAGACAGCCAGCGGGCAGCCAGACTGACATGACTAAGCCCCATTTATCGAAGATATAAAAGTCAAATGTTTCAGGCTACCATAGCCAGTTGGATAAACGTAAGGACGGATTAACAGGCCATAACAAAGTATTAAATAGACCCAACTCTTTTTTATTTGCTGTTAGGTGAAGTGATCAAAGTGTAAATACATAAAAGGAGATTCAGTGGAAGAGCAAACTAATTTATGTTTATTTATTAATTCAAATATTTTCTACAAGGATTTCAGAGGGGAAGCTAGCACAAGAACGTTATGTATATTCAAAATGAAATTCGAAGCCAAAATAAAATTTGACTCAGCAATTTGACACTAAATGTCCATGTTTATGCTTAAAAGGGTAAACGAGGTAGCCCAGTAACCACATTCTCTGGCCACCACTCAGGGACAAAGACATTTACCGAATGTTGTGACCACAGAGTAGCTCCCGTCGACGGAAGCAAGAGTACAAGTGAGTCATTGCAACTGGCTTTTTCGTAGTTATATGGCTGATAAGCTTGTTTTTTATCAAAGCCGTCATCGGGTTGGATATCAGAGCTCCTGGTGATGCTGTTCAAAGGATTTGGGTAGCATATTGGGTTTTTTGCCACAACTACCTCATGAAAACGAACCAAAGCAATGCCATTTGGCACATCATAGTGTCTCTTGTCAGCAGATTCAGAGGCGTCTTCAAATCTCTGTCTGTTAAATATCAGGTCAGTGGTGTCTGATGAAGAAATAAGGCCCCGCAGCCAGGCGACTGGCCGGGGAGTCGAGTCTTTAAATCCACTGGAGGTAGGATCAAAGGAGCCCAGTAAAGGGTCGATTCCTGCAGCAGTAAGTGAGGATCGCAGATACAGGGGCAGGTTATATAGCCCAGAAGCGCTATAAAACAAGAAAATTAAGTAAGTATATATTTACATGAGAAATGGCTCAGGCTAGCGAGAAAATTAATTTATAGATAATTTCGTAAATTGGTAATTTCGAAGTTTCTTACTATTGGACACAGGACTACTTTACCTAAAACGGCCTGATACTTAGCTTTAATAAACTAATTTAAATTTTAAGGTTTTGACAGAGACCCCATATTAACTGGTAGAAACAAATGGCGAAATATATATACGGGTTTCTCGATAGCCCCATGAGACACATTTAGATTTCCAGAGTCAGGAAAAAGCAATATTTTGTATCAGGACGGTATTCACATAGTGCGAATAAAATTTACCCAGCAAACACTTACATAAATGACCAATTCTGGCCTGTGTTCACATTCAACAAGGTAAAGTCACTTACTTATATTATACCAGTCGCCCGGATACTGATTATGAACTATGTTTAAGGTACTTGAACGAACCTATAAAAAAGGTCAGTGGTCTGGGGACTTATTCACACCAATCTAATGACACCTCCAATGCATCCTCCTTCGGTTTTCGATGATACAAACTTATGAATATATTCTACTCACCTCTTCAGACCAAATATAAGGTGCTCCTACAGAAAGATAGTTCATTTGTAACCTGTTTGTAGAACTCATGTAGTGCAAGATTCTGTGCTATCTGTGTTAACTAGTTGTATTTATCTTGGTTATAGGAAGACCTAATTATTAATGCTAATTATCGGAGTATCCCCTAAAGTTGAAGTACTCAAAGAGAACACTAGATGTTTTTGTTGTGATGTAAAAAGTAATGCCCTACTACAAAGGCAATATCGGTCAGTAATAACAATTCTCGAATTATGCTTTCCCAATTAAAGGTAACCAATGCTGAGTTAATAAAGGTACAAAAAGAAAATAAAGCAAACCAACTTATATATTTGTATAAATGACAGAACGAAGAGTAAATAAGTTTGATTATTGTATACCAGAGAATATATTCAATAGGTAAGATATATAGAAGTTAAAAATATGTTGAAAAATGAAAACAACGATAAGCTTAAAATTATAAGAAATAACCAGAGAATGTAAAATAGGAAAATGCTTAGTGTCAAAGGTTATAGTTACTATAAATGGTAAAAAGCAGAAACAAACTTTGAATTGAGTTAGAAAATGGATGCCAGAAATTTTTTAACGGCTTGAAAAAAAGCTTCAAGTGAGGGATTATTCATTGACAAAGCATTCTTAAATCCTAGAACTTACTAAAGTGCTAGAAAAGGAGTTTAATTTAGACTGTAAGAATGCTACATATAATTTACTTAAGAGAGACTTCCATAAGTATGATATTTGAATTTTGTTGGAAGGAAGCTGATTAGACTTCAGTTTACGGTGAATAGCTCGCTAATTTAAACAAGGCGAATTTGTTTGACACTATTCTTCCTGCTAGGTAATTGAGATAATTAGTGATTTTTATCTAATTAATGATAACGAACTAAACGATAAATGATATGTAATGAACAGTGGAATGGAAGGAAAAGAATGTACAGACCTTTGCACTATTATCGCATCATAGAATCAGCGGTCTTACGATGGGATTCACAGGATAATTATGATCAAGATGTCGATAACCATCAAAGCTTCGAAAGTGATGTCCAAGTCAGTTTAGAGGATAAAAAGCCAATGAAGTTGAACAATCGCTTTACTAATAAATTATGTTAATTTATAAGGCTCTGGAAAGCTTAGCTCGTTCAGTGAAATAAGGCCTAAAATTCACCAAAAACGCGAAGGTTACCGAAAGTAAACAAGGGGAGCAGCTAAGGCTGATATTCAACAAGTATCTAGTAACGCATAAGCTTGAGAAGTTCATATGCTCAAAAGTCAGGAAGTTAGGCAATATGGTATCACAGTGAAGAATTCATTAGAATTTTCTCAGAGGAACAAAATCATACAGAGAGAGCACAAAATTAAAAGTAAGTTTTGATCTATAATGTAGGTATGCAAAAATATACGGAAAAAAGGCACTAAAAGTTATGCTGGAAATCTTGGATCGAGGAGATCCTATAAGCAGGAAGGATCAGGAAAGAATCCTCAACATGACTGAGCGACTTGAAAATAAGGACCAGCCACTTTACATTCAAAGACAATTTAACAAGCATTTGGACTTCCAGTATGATCGTCAGCCTCACCTATTTTGCCAAATGTATAAACAAGCAAATTATAAGAGGAATTGGAGACGTCATCACTACAACCAAGGATGCTCATGTGGCGCCTGGATGACTACTAGGCAGTTTAGTAGCAAAGAAGATAAAATTTCGATGAATTCCTTAAGCTTATGAACCAGACTAATGAAAGGATGGCATTTTCAATGAAAGCATAGAAGGATAGGTGATTACCTTTCCTGAATGTCGGAGCTAATCGCTCAAGCTGGCAACTAAAAAATAGATTTGGGAGACTGCGACCATACCCGAGGCCACAACATCTTGGTCTTCACATCTTCAATAAAAAAATAGATTATTTAGGACGAAGTAGTATATAGAAATAATCCTCAATTTCTAGTCCCATCACAATACAGACTGAAGATTGAAATAATTAGGAGTACATGGCAAGCCTGTGTTTAACAGACATGGAATTCTCATGACAATTGATCAAATTGACTTTAATGTTTCTCAGCGACAGATTCCCAATAGAAACAATATAAAGAAGTACACGGTCCACAAAAAGACGATAGCATGATAAGGATTACGAAAAGAAAATAAGG